ACCTGCCCTGCTCTTTATTCTTATCTGTAAACCTTTACTCTCTCCCCTTTCCCTCCACTAACCATTTAACCCAGCCTTATGTTTGCAGGTCTGTGAACATATTCTGAAGTAGGCTCCCAAGTTAGGACCATCTCTCCACCGAAAGTCTCTAACTGAAAAAGCAGCCTCCAAGCAGCAAGCTACTGCAGACCCAGAAGGGCAATAGAGGACTGAGGTGCGCGCCCACCCACCCATCACCACTGCTGCTGTGCATGAGTGAACTGGCACCACCAAACAGCTCCGTCTTCTCCGAGACCTTGTGCTGTCTTATGTCCTCCTGTTTCTTCATGCTCTTCCTTCCTGCTTTGTTACTCTTAGCTAATAGTTCCACAGCCTTCAAGACTGAGCTCAGGCGTTGTCTTCTCTAGGACACTTTCCCAAAACCCTGGTTGGGCAAAGGACCCTACCTCAGTGCTCCCATAGCCCCAGGGCTTCTCTCTCTCTTATCACATATGATATTTAGAAATGATATGTTTATGTGGCACTTTCCACCACTAGACTGTAAGCGCCTCAAGGCTAAGGCCACATCTCATCCAGACCTTTGCAGTTCCAGTGCCTAGCCCAACTGTGCATTCGGGAAATGCTGGCATGTATTGAACTAAAGGGAGTTGGAAGGGCACAGTACTACTCATAGTGCGGTGTGCTTGGTCACTTTTTGTGTCTATTATAAATAAACTAATTTGTGCCAAAGCAGAGAACATGGGAAATACAATTGTAGATTGGATAGTCAAGGGAAAAAACCCTAAACCATTACGCACTTGCAGCAAATCTTACCATTGCTGACACGAAAAGTGACAGTATGATCACAGCAATTAGAAGTGATCACTGAGGCAGCAGAGACCAGGCTGGTGGTCCTTGGTCCTGGCTGTGGATTGAAAAAACCTGGGGAGCTTTTGAAAAATACAGATACCTGTCCACCCCTGAGAGAATCTTCTGTCATTTGCCTAGATGAGACCTGGGCCTCCGTATTCTTAAAATCTCTCCAGGTGGTTCTAAATATATCCCCATGGCATCAGACCCTGACAGCAGAGATGAGAACCAAAGCTGGAGGAACAATAGGCCTGATCTAAAGGAAAGTCAGAGACCTCATATCCCTTAAAGCACGTTGCTGGCATGGATGGGGGGAGGTGGGGTATGGGCATGTCTGGATTCTCTGTGTGTTTGTGCATTATTGGTGGAGTGGAGGAGGAAGTCAGCACTCTAGCCTAGAGTGAATTAAAGCCCCGATAGATAAAAAATAGGCATATCCCAAATAGTTCAGCTCCCATTGGTAATGATATATGGGTTTTCTCATATGTTAAACTCTCTAAATGAAGTTCTGTCTACTCTTGTACAGAGAAAGATGGATTTTCACATTTGTTTACTTCCAGAAAAGAAATCCTTGCATATTCTAATTGAGCATTTACTAATATTAGAATCTTACTTTCAAGTTATCTAGAAAGTTAAACAATAAAATGGGAATGATAAAGGAAAACAGCTGGGGCTATATACTTTTGACCCACAGAGTATGACTCAAAAGAAAATAAAAACTGTTTAAGAGGTAGTGGTTTCATTAATCCTTTGTGGGTGCCGTCATAGCGTTCCCTGAGGCAAGGGGTATGAGAAGAGAGAATTACGCCATCCTGTACACCCAAAATGCCCTGTTAGACATCCAAAATTTGATAAGGACCTTGCTAGACATCAGTACAGAGATTATATCTATACCTATACTTTTTGGGGCAGATTTCAGATTTGATGTTGCCAACATGCCAGGTCCTAATGAAAGATGGCCGTGACACAGGCGGCTCAGTGCACAGCTCTTTAGGAACAGGAGGATTCTGAATACATACTTGAGTATGTATTTCCAGTTCTCCCCCTGATTTCCAGCACACCCTCCATGAAATCACTGGCCCCTCCCTGTACCTCTTTCTCTTCCTGTGAAGTGGGGACACCTCTGATCATCATCTGGTAATGTTTATGAAGCTCCATCAGACCTTTGTCTGGAAGGCTCCGTTAACAGTAATGCATGCTTGGTTTATGAGATGGTTACAAGAGAATGGAGGTGGGGGCAGGGTGCCAAACATGGCCAGGGCTTTTATCTTTGACATTATAAAGAGGTCTGCTGGCCAAGGGCCAGATTGGAGTTTACTGGAATATAAAATGCAGACGTGTGCTTTCTGTTGGTGGGGTGCCAGGGGGAAAGCTCGCCAGCACTTCACTTCCACAGGATGCAGTTGCCAGGGAGAGCATCTGAGTCCTGGTAGTTTTGTGCGGGGTCTTTCATGGGTATGAGGTGGGGCAGAAAGCTGAACCATGGAATTTGGTCACCTTCTCTCGCTGCCAGGCCCTCAGCGCATGAGTGATTGCCCTCTGGAATGACCCACCCCCAGCTTCCAGGAACAAATTCTGCATGGATTAATTCACAGACTACAGAATTGTTTGAGATTACTGGAGGAACACTGGCTTTCTTCCACTGAGACACAAATGCAATTCTGGACTCTTTCTTCTTGAAAATATGACCAAGGTATTAAAGATAATTCTTCGCCCCCAACTGGGACATAGTCCTTTTGAACTTTGTGCTTGTTTGGCACATGGTCTAAGGATTTCAGTGCTGCCTTACAAGGTGTTAGTAAGAACTGGTGAATTTGTGCAAGCCAGCTCTGAAAAGGTAGGGGGAGCTATTGCAATTGCATTAACTACTGTTGTTGGACAGGTTCTGATGTCATATTAAATAATTTGCTTTGGTTACCCTTATGATTACCTCCTTAAAAAGCGTGTCTAGACTTCTGTCCCAGGACTCATTATCTGAAATTGTTAGTGTGGACCCCAACTAAACTATTCCCTTAGTTTGGGACCACAGATTAAATAATCTGATGTGCTTGCTTTAGCAGATAAGCAAATACCATGTTCTCATCTGAGTATGGCATGTTGCCCACTATAATCATTATACACACAAATGTTAGAGGGAACGTGTGAATTAAATAATCATTGTCAAATTCTTGGGTTGGTAGAATGCAGCACAGGGTCGTTGTAGTCTTTATTCCATCCTCTACGTACTCTCTCTGCTCTGACTGGTGTGTTCTATACATGAGAAAACTCAGCAAAAATAGAATGAAGGAAAAAAAAATAGAATGGAGGGATTTGCAATTTGTTACACAACCACAAATTCCAAAGTCTCTCCTGTCAGAATTTCAGGTCTCTCTTCATGCACAACAGACACCATATACATTAATGACTAATGGAGTGGAATGATTAGTTTCCATCTCCATGGTAACCTTAATCAAGTTCTCACCTGGGGAAGCTGAGCCAGGAGGCATTGTTAGCCTCCAGGTCTCACATCTGGCCAGCGGCAGAGCTGGGATTGGAACTCCAGCATCCTGATTTCCACTTTCATGGTGTTGTCTGTCACACACTCCTGAATGCCAGGAACACAGAACCCAAGTCATGCTGTTGGTTCATCCTGTTTTTAAATGTCTCTGGAGAAACTGCGTCTAGGTTATCCTAACCTTCGCTATCAGAACATTAGCCTTTATACCTAACTTGAATGTTTTCTGCAGACTTTCCTCTCTGTTTGCAGAGGAGAGTGAAAGCAGCTATTTCTAAGGAAGAACAAACTAGAGATGGAGGTGTGGCAGATTGGAGGAGGTGAGGGCTTGTGGTTTGGGTCTCCATTAAAGCAAAACCTGTCCTGAAATTCAGGGGTATACTTTATCTTAATGCCAGCTGCCATTAGAACAATTTTTCCTGTAAAATCTTTGCATTTTTTCCCAGTCTCAAACCTCCCAGCTTGTGGTGTTCGCACAGGAAGATTGGCAGGACTGTGCTAGGAGTTGCGGATACGACTTTACAGCACAGAAGCTATCTATTTGATAGTCTCTCTCTGTACAAATGTGAAAAGAATTTGTTTGAATGTGCTTTTGCAAGCCAGTAGCCTTCTGCTTCGTATAATCTCCATTATATGTGCTCAGGAACTTATCTTTTCAGGAGGTGCAAGGAGGAATAGGAGGGTGCAAGGAAGAGTCGTCTTAAATGTCTTTATGTAGTGTTTAACTGCCTTTGTGTATCAGCCGTTCATGCTCATTTTCCGCACAGTGTTGCATTAAAAGCAGATCAGCAAGCACCACTTGGCATGGGTAGGCTCTCAAACTGTCCCAAGTGTGTGGATGACAACTGGTTTTTTTTTCCTCTGAATTGACCGGATTTTATATAAGCAAAGGAGCTTATTTCTCTAAGAAGGAGTTTCAGTCACTGGGATAGGAATACCCAGCACAGAGGAAGGGAAGGTGTTGAGGTTGTAGCTGGAAAAAAGCCTTTGATGGGTCTAGAAGTTCTGACTTCACCCACTCAAAGCTGTTGTCACTTCCCTAGAAGCTGTCAAGGGGACATTCCCCTTCCTTCTGGCATTTCCCTGTATCTGGAGATTGAACCTTGAACCTGCAGTTGGTTCCAATGTGTGAACTTGCAGAAATTTGTAATTGCAGTAGAGTCCTGTTTCTGCCTGAGAAACAAAGCTAAGTGGGTATTGGCAACTGGGACAGCTACAATGGGGACTTAGAGTTAAATGCCTTTCAGTGGAACAGTGCTGCTGGAGGCTCAGGTTGTCCCATGAGCCCTTCTCCTCAACATCAGCACTTGTTTGGACTGGGCTTAGTGCTCCTCATTGCCCAAATGTTCCTCAGCTGGTTCCAAGACAGTGCCAGGGCTGACTGGCAGGGGAAGTCTTGCCAGCCTGAGAAGAGGACATCTATTCTGGGGTCAGCCAGCTCAGGGGGGTGGGGAAGAACCTGGAGTTTCAGGCTCTTGAGGGGACATGGAGTTCAGAGACCTGCTTCACCCTTCTTGTGCACATCGCTTGTGGGCACTGTGCTGAGATCTCACCATTTCATGAAGAAGATTAAGTAAAATTACCTTGCAAAGTTTGTTTTTTTCGTTTGTGGACTGGTAAGAGCACGTGGATGATGTCCTTTTCATCTGCATCACAGTTATGCCCATTGCTACAACTATCATGGAACCCAGTGGGAAGTGCACAAAGGATTGTGCCTGTGGAAGCTGCAGGACGTTTGATCTGGTTCTTGGTGGATGGAGAGGAGTTTGTTTGGATGACTAAATTGAGGAAGAGCCTTCCAGACAAAGGGAATGGGATATGCAGAGAGGTAGGAGCATGGCATAGTTGGTTCTTGATTACATTGTAATTTGCTTTCTCCTTCATTGGGATAAGACTATTTTATCCCTCCCACCAAACAAAACGGATTCTAGTCAGGCCCCTGGTAGCCCTCCGCCTTCTAGGGTGGGAATTGAAAACTCAGGGCTCTGTGCCTTTCATGAGATTAGTGCTTCTAGAGGGTACAAAGAAAAGGTTTAGAAGGTACATCTGTTCAGACAGTTATTACACCGCAGAAACTTAGCTTCAGGGAGGTTAAATACTTTGCCAAGGTCACACAGCTATGGAGCAGAGATTCAAATCCACATTTTATGATTCTAAATCCAGTATTCCTTTCACTAAGTTTTCATTATTTTGTACAGTTGCTAGTTAATTGCTAATTAGAACATTCTACCAGTTGAACGTGCTTCAAGCTGAGGACATTCCTCTCTTTTCCTTCCTTCCCCAGTCCTTAATGCCCTTTGACTGGCTTGTGGTTGATATGATAACAGTGAATGCTCTAGTTTTAACTACTATTTTTCCACTTTATGAAAGAGCCACTTTTCCCCCCATGTTAAATCCAAACTGCTTTCAGTTTTTTTTTGCCAAAGGAGATGGAAATTGGTTCCAGCAGAAATGTTCCCTGTGAATCGTAAGGTTTGGAGTGCTGCTGTATATTCATCTGTTAGTCCCAGGGCATTATCCATGAACTGGAGTACCTCAGTCAAACGCGCTGCATATTAAACTTTGTTTCCCTCCTGAGTTTGAGTTTCAGGACTTCCCAGTCTCTCTCCTGAGTGCAGACACCATATTTGAACCTCATTCTGCTTTAAAAACAAACAAAACACAAAAAAACCTCTCATTTTAAAACGCTAAAATTATTAAATTACTGGAAAAGTTTATAAGTACTCAGTAATTTTACTTCCCATTCCATTCTCATCTCTCTCCAATCCAGTCTAATTAGAGTTTGTGTGAGGATTGGATAACAGGAAGTACTGGAAAGCAGACTGCCTTTCTCCTTTTCCTTTTAATGTGAGCCATCTGAAATTAGCCCAATGCAAGAGTTTCAACATCAAACACTTGTGAGCCAAGTGAACACATCTGTTTAAGTGTTCCAGATGCACAGTGGATCTGGATGGTTGCATCTTATGTTTAAGCCTGATAGAGCCAGTGGTTACTTTCCCAAGGATATGTTCAGCCAGTCTTGCTAGATTCCAACCTTACCCTGTTGAAGAAACTTGGATTTCTGATTCACAGTAACTGCTGGCATCTGCCAGGTATGCTTCCTACTCTGAAACCCAAAGGAAGCATTTGGCCAATTGAATGTAATTCTGTTGCATGACGCCCTTTTATGTAGTGGTGAGATTATCTCCTATCATCTGGTACCTATTTTTTACAGTTAAAGGAGTGATGCTAGGATATTGATTTGTTAGCTATGTGTGAAGGAACTTAGATGGCCTCACTGATCCATCCAGGGATAGATGGGCACAGCGACCTCTGGGCCAAGTGAACAACAGGAGGCTCAGGATGATGTTGGAGATTGAAGCCAGGAGAGCCAACAGAGCCCACTCCCGAACAGCCTTGATGCTGTTGTCCGGGAGCACGGGTCCTGAGCTAAGGTGAGATTTCTTATACTGGGGGGAGGGGTCCTGTTTAGGTTCTAGACCAATATCTGGGCATTTGGCAAATACTGACAACTACAGTGGGAACATGTCCTTTTTCAACATAATCATGATGTGGTAATATCAGGAACAAGTCAAGATAGAAGTATGGTGTGAAAAGAACAACCTTCTGTTTCCTTGGTTGAGATTCTCCTTCTTGTTACAGAATTAAGGTATTTTATTCTTAAAATACTGTTACCCATGGGTTGTAGAAGATCACTACTCTCTCCTCATTGATTTACTCCGTCACCATTTACTGTATAACTTACTATGCTGGCACTGGGAATAGAGATATGATTAGGTCATGGTCCCTCAAGGAGTTCTGAGGCTAGTTGGGGAGACAGTAAAGTAGATCATTAATGACAGCTTGGTGCTGAGAGAGAGGTATGCAGAGTGGCTGTGGTGGCTCAGGAGCGCTGGGCTAACTCAGAGGGAAGAATTAGAGAAGATTTCTGGATAGAGTACATTTGAGGCTGGGTCCTAAAGGGACAAAAGGGAAGAAAGTCAAAGAAACAACTCAAAGTGGTGACCCAAGGAAAGAGCAGGAAGCTGCAATCCACGTCCTGACAGAATCCAGAGGGGAGGATTCCAGTTGGAAGAGAACGTGTAGCAGCAGTAAGATAGAGCTAGGGCTGGGTCGGATTCAGAGTGCGGCTATGAGAGGAAAGAATGGGGGTGAACGAGAAGAAGGGACCAAGTATTGAGAGAAACGACTCTTGGATTATGGGAAGTTTGTACCTAGCCACTCATGGGCCCGGGAGGGGGTAGTGCGGGTAGAGGAGCTTGAGTGTCACAGAAAGAAGGGAGACCTTCAGGAGACTCGTTCTTACCAAAATCCTGAGAACAGCTGGCAGAGTTCTGCCTTAAATGACCTATTTCCATGTTTTACTGTTTAAAATGAAGACAACTTTTTAAGGACTTTTCTGGAACTATGCAAGAGAGTGCTCACCAGAGTTAGAGCTCAGCTGGCCTTGCGCTCCTTCAGCCTCTGGAGTGGTCAAGTGGGAAGAATGTTAGTGGTCATCCAGGCCAACTTCTCATTTCTGGGGAGGAAGCTGAGGGCCAGGAGAAGAAGCCTTGCCCAGGGCGTGAGCCAGTCACGGCAGAGCTGCTAGTGGTGCTGGAACCAATTTGTTGTTAATTCCCTTTGTCACTTCCAGCAGAGTGAACTTTCTCAGGAATCCTTCTGTTTGTCATCTGAATTATTTTATCGTTTGTAGAAAACTCAGTGATAGTACGTTTGATTTTATAAAAATATATATGTATAAAATGAATGTTTTCTACCTGCTGAAAACAGATTTCAAGACTCACTCATTCAAGCTCCTTTTACATAGTAAAGCTGAAATTCAAAAAGGATTTTTTCCCGTAAATAATTTTGTCTTGAATGACAGCAACATCTTTAATGTGTTTGAATAAGAAATAATGCAATAAGGACGTAAATTTACTAATTTCATTCCTCAGGAACTGTGAAAAAGAACATACTAATTTATTCTTATATTTGCAAACTGAAAAAGTAGATTTAAGTTACGCTTCCCTAAGTAGTTTCTCTGTTTATACATATGTCTCATATATATAGGAATATATATGTATGTGTGTGTATACACACACACACCCCCCCACCCCTGAGTGTTCTCCTCCTACCAGGTGTGGGGAGAGGAGAGGCAGACTGCATTGCAGGCATGGTTAGACGAGAAGTCACAGAATGGAAGAGAGAGTCAGGAGACAGGAGTGAGGTGAATTGGGAAGCTGAGGGTGTAGAGAGTTTCACCTGGTGGAACATCCGGGGAGTTGATAGTTAGCTGGCAGTGAATGTAGCTTTGTCCAGCTCCCATATGAAGTGCTCTCGAGAGCTATTGTTTCTGAATGTTTAGAAGCAATTTCAAAGCTTTCTTGCTCTTCTGATAAGTAAATATAATCTTAGGCTCAACTCAAAGAACAGCTAATCAGATTATGATGGGGATTTAGTCGTGAATGTAACTCCCGTATGAAATTGTTCTGCATTGAGCCATGGTCTCACCCTGCTTGATGGAAGAATGTGAGATCTGCTGTGGGTTCCACGTTGGAAGATTTTAGTGCCCTTTTCCAAATGCCAGTACTAGGAAGAGCATAGGAGCCGTGGGTTGAAGATACTTTGAATTTGCACTTAGACTTCAGTTTCGCCTTTTAAGCAAGACTTGGAGAAAAACACATTCAAATTAAACATGAAGAGAGTGGGAAGAGCATGGGCTCTGGAGCCAGATAGACGTGGGTTTGAATCTTACCTCAGGCAGTAGGAGTGGAAGGACATTTGTAGCCATTACTTAAGCTTTAGGACTGTCTTGTGCCTCGTTTGTAAATTGTAGGTATTGATGCCCTGCAAGGATGTTGTGAGGAGTAATTCAAATACAGAGAAGAGACATCCAGATCATTACCAAATAAATGTTAGTCTTTTTCTTCCAGATCCATCCTACAGACGTTTAACTGAGCATTTGCTACATACACGGCTCTGTGCTAAGTATTTAGGAGACGCAGGATCAGAGAAGAATAAGACCTATATTTAGCTCTAAAATGGGACAGATATGACACGCATACAAGCTACAACCCATGATCTCCATCCACGCTGTCCTCCTTAATATCCCTGGAACATCCAGGCATGTCCTGCCCCAGCACTGTGGCACTTGCTCTCCCCTCTCCCTAGAACTCTGATGTCCCACTCCTTCAGCTCCTTCAGCCCTTTACCCATATGTCATCTTCTCAGTAAGGACTTCCCTGGTCACCCTGTTTCAAATGGAACTCCTTGGGGCCAGGACTCCTCATCCCTCTTCCCTGTTTGTTTGTTTTTCCCTCTGACACATATATTTTACATGTGTGTATGTGTGTGTGTTTTCTGTCATCCCATGCTCCTCCTGCCTCTGCAGTGTAAACACTATGATTGTCGGATTTCTTTCCTGCTGTATCCTCAGTGCCTAGAACAGCGTGTAGTAGGCACTCAGTAAATGTTAACTGAATAGATGAGTGATCAAATTTATTAATTTCAGGGGCAGGAGGGGCATGTGCCAAATTCCAAAGGCCAGAAGAATAGAAGATATGTTAGGGATTGTATTTGTTTCCTATGGCTACTGTAATCAATTATCACAAACTTAGTGCTTAAAACAATAAAAATCTATTATCTTACAGTAGGTCAGAAGTCCGACACAGTTCTCTGGGCTAAAGTCAGGGTCTTGGCCGGGCTGCTTTCCTTTCTGGAGAATCTAGGAGAGAATCCATTTCCTTGTCTTTTCCAGCTTCTGGAGGCTGCCTGCATTCCTTAGTCTGTAGCTCTGATCCTCGATGTTCAAAGCCGACGGTGGCAGGTTAAGTCCTTCACACATCATGTCACTCTGACCTCCACTTCTGCCTCCCTCCTCCACTTTTAAGGACCCTTGTGATTCCGCTGAGCCCACCTGCATAGTCCAGGACAATCTTCTTATTTTAAGGTCAGCTTATTAGCAACCTTAATGCCACTTGCAACTTAATTCTCCTTTGCCATGTAATCTAACATATTCACAGGTTCTGAGGATCAGAATGTGGACATCTTTAGGGGTCCGTTATTCTGCCTACCATAGAGTCTAACAAGTGAGACATTTTGCCTAGAATCTAAGGTTTGAGCTGCCGGTAGTGAAGTATAAGACAGGAAAATTTAGTCATGAATGGCCGTGATTGTCAAGATTTAACGTGTGGGCTTTCTCTGGGAGGCATGAGGATGTTGCTAAACGCTGTATACTGAGGTGAGGGAACGAGGCTTTAGGAGATGAAGAGGGACTTTGAGCAGGTATTTGGAGGGAGATTGATGTTGACCTTTTAAGCAACTGATTTTTCTTTCCCTCTCCTGTGTACAGAAAGCTAGGTATTTATTCAGAATTTCCTAAAAGAAGTAGGGTGCACTTATCGTATCTTTTTAAAAACCACCCTATTATATTAATCATATGCACAACACATATACACAGAGACCCAGAAAGCCCTACTACACAGACACACTCACACAAGCACACACACTTCCTCCTGCATACCCACTGCCTCACCCTTTTCTTGGGATCTCTTTTCTGTGGTTCTCTGTGGCCTTCATATTTTTTTCCCTGGAACACCTGAGTTATGTGTATCTTCCCATCAGTAACGTGGGCTTACTCTGGCAGTGGTTCCACAGGGTTCCTTCTATAAACCTCCCCTAGCAGGGATGTAAGAATCTCCAGGGAGATGTATATAGTTTGAAAAGTCTGCCTTACTTCACCTTTGCCATAACCCCCACACTGGCCATGATTTGATATAACTTCCTAGGATGGTTCTTCTTTCTGACACTAATTGAGAATCTAATGGATATTGAACACCTGGTTTTCAGTAGTATATGGTGAGAGTTTCCTACTCTTTGATTGGTCTCTTTAAAGCAGCACTGTCCAACAGAACTTTCTGTGATGACAAAACTGTTCTGTATCTAATGGTGTCCAGTATGGTAGCCACAGCCACATGTGGCTATTGACTCTTGAAATGTGGACATACAGGAAAAATAGAAGACCTGCTTACTAAATAGGACAGACATTTAATAAATGGTAACTCATACTTTTATTTTGTTTTAAATTGCTTTTTCAATTGTTGGGAGTTTTTATTTATTGGTTTATTTTCAGTTTTTGCAGAAGTCAAAATTGGTTCACATGGATGTAATTATACCTCACATTCCTTTTTCTGGCCTCATTTTGATTGATAGCTCCATATTGATTAAAATGTTAGCTATAGGTCTCCTAAGAAATAAGCCTTTCTCTTCCTCACTTCCCCTTCCTGATTTTTAGATATACAGTTATATAGATATATTTATATCTATATATCAGCTTTATTGTGATATAATTCATATATCATACAATTTAATCAATTAAAGTGTACAATTCAATAGCTTTTAGTGTATTCACAGAGTTTTGGAACCATCATCACAGTCAATTTTAGAACATTTTCATCACCCCAAGAAGAAACCCATACTCATTAGCAGTTACTCCCCAATTCTTCCCAACCCTCCTCCCCCCGCCCCGAGCCTTAGCTAATTATTAATGTACTTTCTGTCTCTCTGGATTTGCCTATTCTGAACATTTCATATAAGTGGAATCATGCAATCTCTGGTCCCTTGTGGCTGGCTCATTTCACTTAGTAGGATGTTTTCAAGGTTCATCCACACTGTAGCATATATCAATACTTCATTTTTTTATTGACAACTAATATTTCATTGTATGATTATGTCACATTTTAGTTATCCATTCATCGGTTGATGGACATTTGGGTTGTTTCCACTTTTTTTTATTATTATGAATAATGCTGCTATGAACATTTATGCAGAAGTTTGTATGTGAACATATATTTTCATTTCTCATGGGTGTATATCTAAAGAGTGGAATTGTTAAATGATATGGTAGTTCTGTGTTTAACCCTTTGAGGAAGTGTCAGACTGTTTTCCAAAGTGGCTGCACCATTTTACATTCCTACCACTGCTGTAAGAGAGTTCCAATTTCTCCACATCCTCACCAACACTTGTTATTATCTGTCTTTTTGATTATAGCCATCTTAATGGGCATGAAGTGTTGATCTCATTGTGGTTTTGATTTGCATTTCCTTGATGGCTAATGATGTTGAGAATCTTTTCATGTGCTTATTGGCCATTTGTATATCTTCTTTGGAGAAATGTTTATTCAGATCCTTTGCCCTTTTTTTTTAAGGATGATTAGCCCTGAGCTAACATCCACCACCAATCCTCCTCTTCTTGCTGAGGAGGATTGGCCCTGAGCTAACATCCATACCCATCTTCCTCTATTTTATATGTGGGACACCTGCCACAGCATGGCTTGATGAGTGGTGTGTGTAGGTCTGTGCCCGGGATCCAAACTGGTGAACCCTGGGATGCCAAAGCAGAGTGTGCGAACTCAACTGCTACACCACTGGGCTGGCCCCCTCTTTGCCCATTTTTTAATTGAGTAATTTGTCTTCTTTTTCTGTTCTTTTGGCCTGAGCAGGATGCTGATATGCTAACTGGTGATGAACATGTATGGAAAGAAGTTCAAGAATCCTTGAAAAAAATTGAAGAACTGAAGGCACATTGGAGTATCCTTTTTACCTGTGGATTGAATTGGACTGTTGGGGTTGTTTCCTTATTGGCTGGAGCATGGTGTTAGTGAAGCCAGGTCCGGGGTTTGACCTCCCTAGGGCTCTTCATTCTGTTCCATCGCCGTAAGCTGCGTCCCTGACCCCAGCTAACAATTTGGGTAATGGCTAGGGAAGATTGAAGTGAGAGCAGCCTGAATTCCTTGCCACCTTTAGATAATAATCAAAATTCATGGCCCAGTAATAGTAGAACAGTAAGTAGTAGTCTCTTTATATGGAAAAGATAACAAATTTCTGGATTCCCTTCCTCCCATAACCTACATCTTTAGGAAAGAATAGCTTAGAATCCTTTTAATTTAATGTCATTGAGCCTCAGGTCTAGAAGCTTCATATTAAGTCAGCCATGACTACAATGGCAATGGGAGTTTCTACACAATAAATTTTCTTGGTATAAATAGTAAGGACCATGAAAGGGTCAAAGTTCAGAGTAAGGAGAGATCACTTCTGTTGGAGGTTATCTGGGAAGGCTGTACTGGTGTTTTACTGTGTGAGAGGTAGCCCGAATCAGGGACAGGATTTGCATAGGCAGAGGTTGAGAGACAGGTCACTTCCAGTTAGAGGAGTTAAGCAAAAGGTGACAAAGGGAAACCACAAGGTAAGAAGAATGAGGTCAAGGTAGAAGAAAAAGATTGTGAAAGGTCATTCAGGTGCCTTGGGTCAGTGACATCCCAGGCACTAAGAAAATCTGCAAATGAGGGTTCTAGTCTACAGACAGTGTCCTTTAAAGGATTGTAAAGGACAGGAGAAGTACTTAGGCAAATGTTCCTGTTTTTAAAGGTGAAATAAGTAATTTCTGAAATCTATAGCTCATGAGTTTTTTTTGTTTGTTAGTAGTTTTGGTAAAGAAACTAGAATTGGTTACTAAAGAAATGGAAAAGGAAGCTGGGATCATTAGGATGCTGCATGGGTTCAGTAAGAGCAAGTGAGTGATAGAGTCATGACTTTCTTTGGTAGGGTTTGTACATTTCAGAAAGAGATTTGATAAAAAAAAAAATAGTGAAGAAATGTATGCTAGATGCTAGCATGACCAACCATCTTACTAAGTGGTTGAATAGCTATGCTGAAAAAATGATGCTAATTGGATCACTGTTGCTCTGAGTCAGTGTCACTCTGTTCCAATCTCAGTCCTCTTCCACTGTTGATTCTGTGCCTTGAATGAAGATAGCATAGGCTCATCAAAACTCCAAAGGTGTATAGATGCGGAAGATGGCAGAGGTAGGATGGGAGACTCAGGAGCTCACAAGATCCCTGAAGGTTTGAATAGTGCCTGAATCTAGAAAGATGAAATTCAACAGGAATGTATATAACATCTTCTATTTGGGTTAAAAAGTTCAAGTGTATAAATATACATAAAAATTAGCAGCAGAACATGTGAAAGAATTTTAGAGTTTTAGTAAATAGCAAAATTTAGTAAAGTTCATGAGTATAATATAACCCCCTAAAAGACTACTGTGATCTTGGACTACATTAATAGAAATAGAGAATAGAAAATGAGAAGGTGAGAGCAGTAGTCTGATCACATCTGGAATTTTCTATTCAGTTTGGTATAGGATGTATTAAGAGGGATACAGAAAAACTGAAATAAGTTTTGAGGAGTGGAACCAGGATCAAAATGGAATTTAAAACCTTCTCTATAGATGGGATGGGAGATACTGGGAAAACAGTCAGATCTGGGAGAAAGAGGGCTGTTCTTAGGCTTAAAGAGCCGTTCCACGGCAGAGAAGTAGACTTGTCCTCTGTGGTCCCATGCAGGGGAATTAGGCCCATGGATGACCCAGCTGTGGTTCAGTCTCGATTGGACAAGGCTTTACTGAACGCTGACTCTGTGCCAGGTACCTTGCCAGTTATACCCCACCTTATGGTCCAGGCAGGATGAAGAAGACACAACTCTCACATTTGGTGGGGTAGTAAATATGGAAATTAATACATATTTTGGTGAAATATATATTTGTAGGGGCATCAGCGGCACAGTAGTCAACTCTGGGAGGTTAAAGGAGGTTTCATGGAGGAGGCGACAACGGCGTTGTGTCTGCAAGGATTAGTAGGATTTCAGCAGGCCAACATGGTGAAGAAGGGAGTCCATCAGAGGGAGTAAGCTGGCAGACGTGCAGGCTGTAGAATAACATGCTGTTGAGAAACTGCCAGGTGTTCAGTGTGAGAGGAGGGGAACATGGCAAGGCCTCCGGCTGTGCACCGGAGATTAGACTTTACTGGGGAGAGGAGGCCATGGGAGGATTTTAAGCAGTAAAATAATATGATTAGGTGGGTAAGAGCCCTGTGGTCTTTGAACCCTGTGGGGTTGATTAATTTTCAAGTGGATTCACTTTGTTCCTTTCTCTCTTTTACCCTAATCTTCTTATGGCCATTGAAAAGTATTCAGAGAAGAGTGTCTGTTCTGTCCATTGACAGTTTATCCTCTTTGGGTGGGCTGTCCGGCCCTGCTTAGGTCCAGAGCTCAACTCCTCACTGGAGCAGAGTGACTTGCAGTCAATACCAAGCGAATGCCAGCGACTAAAGTTTTGAACAAACACGTGTCAGCATTAGCTTGGGGGAAAAGCCTCTTAGTTAAAATTATTCCATTTTTTTGCTCACTGGAGTGTTTTACAGGGAAGATTTGCCTTGTTAGCCAGTTGCCAACGTTGTGAAGGGAAATTGGCATGCGGTCGCTTCTAGCTTGCTGGGGGATAAAGTAGATATGTTCCTATCAGTGGCTGCAGAGCATCACATCTGGTTTTTCCTTCTAAGGCTTTTACCTCAAACCTCTTTAAAAGGACTTGGAGCATATGTAAATGAGTAAGCAAATGATAATGGAGGTCAAACACCATGATGTTAAAATAAGGCAAAAGTCTTGCCACAGAAATGTCTGGCGTTGTGTAAGAGACAGTCATTCCTCCTGCCAGTTCGTCAGATACCAAATCCTGGAATGAAAAGCCACAGAGGTCAGCCCGCACTCTTACAGAATCAGTGCGTTGCCTCAGATGCTGCTGCCCCACCCTCTGGGGGATGCATCCAGCCAATTTTCAACATATGTGTCAGAGGAACACAAAGAGAGTCCCCAACTCACTTTTCTTCAGTTAATGTACCTCTTCCAACACCAGAGACAGAACTCATCCTAAAATTACAGAGTGCTATGTGGAGGAAGTGCGATATAAAGACCCTCATCTGTGTGTTGTGGCGCTTCAGATTCTACCCAAGGAAGTCATGCCTTTGGGGTGAGGTATTATGCTTCCAGGAGGCCCCCGCTGAAAGAAAAATATATTTGCTACGAGGGTTAATGAGGATAATAGTCTCCGCTCACACAAGTGTCTTGAATGGTTTATTAAAAGTGTTTGCCAATGTTTTGGAAGCAATACCCTGAGAGTATGGATGCTAGAAGAGGTAGATGTTGCCAGAAGGAAGGATAAAGGAGAGTTGTAGAACATAGTGGGCTGTTTACACAGGGTGGGGCATGCTGTGTTAGGACCCCGATGAAGAGGGCTTTGAACTGGGGAGGCGGGAGCAGAGAGCACTGGACTGTGAAGAGACGGGATTGTGTGGGAGTGGGGAGGGGTGTGGGTGATAGGGGGAAATTCGATCAAACCCAGTCTGCTAAACCATTCCCCTGAAGCCTGGTCACACTCAGAGGTAATGACACGGTAAAGGAAGGCAGAAGGCACTAATATTTGTGTAGTATGTGTTTTGTGCATGCAGCTAAATCTTTTCCCACTGTGTCCCTGGTACTCAGAACTCTGCCTGGTTCACGCTAGAGCACATAAAGAATTTTTAGAATTTTATGTACAGTATCTTATTTAATTCTTACAGTGACATTAGATGTTTTTATTTCTGACCTACCTCAAAGCACTTAGACTTCCTCAGAACCTCAAATCTGACAGAAATGACAGGACTAGCTTGGATTTGAATCCAGCTTTTTCAGTGGTCAAAATCTTCAGACCTTTCACCGTAGTGGAATTCCAACAGGTGAAAGTAGGTGGATTTGGAGCTGCGCAGCTTGGGGGAGGGGGGCGGAGAAGAGCCAGTCCCAGCCCAGCATCCTCCTTGGCTTCTGCCTGGCCTCACATGGCAACATAGGGAGAAACTGCGAGAGCGACTGCCCTGTCAAGTCTAGCTGTGCTTCCAAGGTGGTTCACCTCAGAGGGGCTCACTGTGTGCTCCCGATGCCAGGTTCTCAGTCCTCTGACTGCCTCTCTAAAGAGACGGGGAATGGCGGTGAGAAAAGGTGAGGTCACACCAAGGTTCCATGAGAGTCAGTCATGGACTCAGGGTTGGGCGTTTAAAATAAGAATACCTTTATTTGAGTAAGTATAGGCTCGGGTTACTTTTGCTTTATAATAAAAAAACTTAAATATGAATCTAGTGGAAATGAATTTCTTCAATTTGCTAGTAGGTGCCTGTGGGTTGTATATTTGGTTTCACACTTGCCCAAGATTCAAATGACACAGAAGCAAAAATGAGCTCTTCCTTTTTAAAAGGGAATCTCTCTAAAACCTCTTTCATTTCAGATCAGTTTTGAAACAGAAGCTAACAGAAAAATAATTTAAACTGAACTAACTTAATCTTTGGATCAGTTTAATAAACATCTGCGTTCATTTCATGACTAGGTTTAAAGAGAATCTGCATAGTAGTATGGAGAAAGAATGGCTCTTTGGAAATCTTAATCCCCCAAAGCACAGGCTTGGGTAGAAGATGGTTTGTTGATGTAAACAGAATTTACTTCTCTGAGAGGCCACTTACATGTTTTGTTTCTCAAGTGCGTTTTCAGGCAGCTCATCTGTGCAAAATAATGGGCTCTTCCTCCCCTCCTGTGCTTAGGAGCTCTTCAGCCTTTTCAAGAGTCTCATTTTACTTTTGTTTTTTCTTGATGAAGACAGTGAATCCTTAACTAAGGTTAATAATAGAGTGGGAACAGGTTCTGGCCATGTGCCAGACGATCATAAGCAGCAACTCAGAACGGCTTCCCGATATCAACATCTACCAGTTGAAGGTGCTCGACTGCGCTATGGATGCCTGCATCAACCTCGGTCTGCTGGAGGAGGCATTGTTCTACGGTATTCGGACCATGGAGCCATACAGGTGAGTCCCAGGAGAGGGCTAGAGGGAAGGTCACAGTGTCTTTAGTTTTGGAACAGGCTCAATAGCGTGAAATCATTCAAATTACTACTATTTACTGAGTATTCCGGTCTGCTTCTTAGTCAGTGTGTAAAACCAAACTTGTTTGATGCACTCTTTTGTTCATTCATTTATGCATTCCATCATCTTTTTTTGTTTTTGCTGAGGAAGATTCCCCCTTAGCTAACATTCACTGCCCATCTTCCTCTTTTTGTTTGTGAGCTGCCATCACAGCAGGGCAACTGACAGACGAGTGCTGTAGGTCTGTGCCTGGGAACCGAACCTGGGCCACCGAAGCAGAGTATGCTGAACTTAACCACTAGGCCACAGGGCCGGCCCTTCCTTCATCATTTGTAGAGTCCTCCCCTGTGGTGTACAGAGACTAATGAGATGCTATCTTGGTGTTCAGCTGATGATTACTATATGGTGTGCTGCTTTCAGTGGCAGAGGTAGGCACAGAGAGCTGGGGAGCCTGAGAGGGGTGCACAGCTGAGACCTGGCTTGGAAAGGCTGTGTCATTAGCTTCTGCTGACCCGGGGGAGGATGGCTGGTGTGGGGCCCTCCGTCTGGCTGACTAATGATGGTCTCTTCCATTTGTCAGGGCTTTATGGTTCCCAGGGTCCGTTCACTTGAGTCGTTTGACCTTACGACTTATAGGTCATTTGACTTATGACCCAAGTAGGAGAACAGAGAGACAACCCTGCTCAAACATGTCACTGCGTCAGGTAGAGGAACTCTTGGTAATTAATTGTTTTTGGACTGGCCTTAGGTCCTCCACACCAGTGAGTGTGTTGTCCCTGGAGGTTCTTGTAACTCAGAGGAGCTTTGGCAGGAAGGGCAGTGTTGAAGTCTGGTACTGAGAGTTTAGTGCTAATAGGGGTGGGACCCTGGTTTGCAGTTGGCTAAGAACACAAGTTTGGAAGTTGAGAGATCAGTCAAAAGGAAAAGGCACAGAGACATACACACCATCATCTGAGGTTGAAATAGACATCTCTAGCACAGAACAAGGCCACTCACTGGTGGGAAGATGTCTCAAAAGCATCTGGGACCTGGGGATGGTTGGGGAGGTCCCAGAAAGGGGGGCTACTACTCTGGGCAGATACTGAGTTTTCCAGCTCTGCAGCCCCTGCAAACATGATGTCAGCCCTAAGGGGCTGAGCAGAGGGAGAATCCAGGTCTAGACTTACGCAACATGGGACAATAGGCAGGGGAGTGGTTCTGAGTGAAGGAGGCAGAGCCCAGGTATTGCCTGTCCCCACTTGAGGAAGAGCCTCAGGAGACAACTGAGAGGGAAAGTTACCAGTGTCAACATGGTAAGAACAGAAGCAAGTCCAGGGTCTAGGATATCAGTTCAGGCAGAGGTAGGAAGCTGGAAATGAGATACTTGGTCAGGAAGCCAGGCCTGGGCCAGGAGCATGGTGCGGGCAGAGAGGGACCTAAAGATGGCAAAGACTCCACCAACCAGGTGGATGGCAAAATCCATAGGCCAGCCATGGCACCAGAATGACCCTGAGGGTGTTTTCAGAACTTCTATAGGTGGTTTCTTCCATTGCCTTGTGGTTGAACAGCTTTGGAATCCAGACTGTGAGTCAGCTTTAATCAAATTCATAAGAGATTGCCTTGAGGGCTGAGACTGCAGACTTTCCCATGAGCATAAAATGTCTGTTCACTATGCAGAATCTTGTGGGTTCTCAGAAAATATGAATTGAACACAGAGATAAGGCTTCATTCTCTGAGCCTCAGTGTTGCAATGAGAGCAGGTCGGGGACAGTTGGTATTACCTCTCTGAACTCAGGGCTTCGTCTCAGGAAGCCAAACCACAGGCTGTTGGGTGCGTGGATGGACCTCAGCCAGGAGATGCAGACTGGGAAAATCCTCGCTCCTCCGGGCCCCTCAGCAGCCGCTAGCCCCACACTACTGGCTGGTGCTAGCCAGGCACTGGCTCTTCCTGCCCCATCCTCCCCTCCTTTACACAGCCAGGCTGCCCTCCGGGCCACTCTGAGCACAGAAACTTTACATGGGTACACCACTTCATAAAGAAGGCCACACACCTTTGAGCGTGCTCATTTTGCACGTAGTTTTCAATCCTCTTTTCCCCACACCTATCAAGGCTTCTCTGAAGGCCTGACTTTCTTACCCCTTAATTAACTGGCCGTTTCACTGACTTAAACTTGAGTCAAACAAAGAAGTCTTTCTTGTAAGTGAGGCCAAGTCCACCAGAATATACTCCACATTGTTTGGAATACATTTGGTTACGTTGTCCTGGTGTCTGGCAGGTCACAGTCTCTCTGTAAATGTAGACTCTGTTCTTAACGCTGGGTAACAAATTTCCAAGGCTACCTTGGTTACTCTTCCCTGGAGCTTGTTAAGGAGTGGCACTACCATGTTCTGTATTTCAAGAAATCCAGTCTCCATTGATCCCCTTCAAATGAGTGAGATCTGAACCCTTTGCTTTCAAAGGTGTAGTAGAGGAAAGGGCCATAAGTAATCCAGAACCAACAAAGTTGAGAGAAATGAGAGGGTGGATGCTGTCAGACTTTGATTTTTTTCCCCTTAGCTCAGGCAAAAGTAAAAATAAAGAACAAATAGGTCAGATGCCCTGCAAGCCCTTTGATAATCTTAGAATGCGAGGTGTGGATCTGAAAGTGGGCAGTGGTTTTTGCCCTTCAGGTATGCATGAGGGAATTGACACTGGGCCATCAGCCGTTTACACGGTCTCCCTGCAGATGCTCTAGGTGGGCTTTCTGTTCTCCTTTAGCCAAGGGCACAGGCAGTTAGCTAGGCATGAGTTACCCAGAGGTGACTGGATTGCCATCTGCTATGGCAGTTTTGCAGTGTCAACATGCTGTTTGCAACAACTAGATCGAGGTCAAGTCTCTAGTGATGATTTTGTGACTCCTGCCCTTGGAGAAATTTTAACTGCTCACCTTACAGGAGAAAGTTTCCATATTCCATTTCTATCCAAATCACTGCGTTGCCCTTCTTGCTACTCTATCATTTATTTATACTCAATAGGAGTTCTTTTTATGATACAGCACGATATTAAGTTCTTTATGTTTCATGAAGCAAGTTAGAATTAATTCATGTATAACAAAATGTATAATCTTTAGGATTAGGGGGTAATATTTCTTCTGAGAGTATCTGTGATGATATGTGCACAGTCATCTGTCTCTTAGCATTATAAACATTAAGCAGAATGAAAGTAATTTAAAGGTATTTCATAAATTTTATTTAAAAATTTAATTTGGTGAAATCTTAACCGTAAGATGAATTGGGTTGCAAAAGTTAGTTTGCCAGTTGGTAGTTTAGAACTTGGAATGCATTTTCCTATTAAAAAAGGTGTTATAGATTATAGTGAGGTCCCCAGACTAGTCCCTGAACGTCTGTACAGCCCATAATATCATCATGTATGTTATAAATTTGAAAAAAGAGAAAAAATACAAACACAAAAGTGAACATAATTTGTTTTAAAATTAAGTTTTAAATTATATTGAATACTAATAAAACTTGATTTTCTTTAGGAACCAGAGAATAATATTAGATATATAAATCTAGAGACTGTTTGAGGCTTTAAGGGGGACTTTAAGTATATTCACACATGTTCTGTTAACTTAATTTTTTTCTTGGTGAGGAAGATTTGCCCTGAGCTAATGTCTGTGCCAGTCTTCCTCTACTTTGTATGTAGGACCCCTCCACAGCATGGCTGATGAGTAGAGTAGGTCTGTGCCTGGAATCCAAACTGCGAACCTGGGCTGCTGAAGCAGAACGTGTGGAACCTTAACCACTTGGCCAGAGGGCTGGCCTCCTGTTAACTTAATTTTTGTTGTAAGAATAGTATATGCTTCTAGGAAAGGCCATTTTCAAAACAACATAAAGGTAAAAATCCTCATCTTTCAAACTCTTGTCCCAGTCCCTAAGATAACCATGGCGAAGATAGAGAAAGGCAAACTCTGTGTAATTCCACTCATATGTGGGAGATAAACAAACACATGGACAAAGAGAACAGATTAGTGGTTACCAGGGGGAAGGGGAGGTGGCCACAAAGGGTGAAGGGATGCACCTACAAGATGACCGACAAACAATAATGTACAGCTGAAATTTCACAACGTTTTAAACTATCATAACCTCAATTAAAAAAAAGAGAGATGATTCATCCCACTTAAAAAAAAAAAGATAACCATGGCTAAAAGTTTCTTTCCTTAAATTTTCAGTATGTGAGGCCCCAGTGAATGTATTCCAAAGCCCCACATTGACTCAGTCTTAGCATGGTGTCAGAGAAAGAAAGAGAATTGAAAGTAAATCAGTAATTCTAACATTTACCAGTCACTCAACAAACAGGGTTCCATTCATTATACACTTCCATACTTCCTTAAAGCCCCCATTCTTTCTACTCTGTTTCCCAGCTATTCCCACAGCCTCAAAGACTCTCCTTTTCCCTCACTCACAATTCTTTTCCCCTCAGAATCGTTCATATGAGCTCTCGTACTTTTTCTGCCTTTCCTTTCCTTTTCCCTCTCTTCTTCTTGCCTTTCTTGGGGAGAGACTTAGTCGCAGTCTTGATCTGTTAAATATGCCCAGTAAGGTGGTGGATGGAAAGTGGGGATGAGAAGGAGAAAAGGGAAGGAGAAGCCAAGAATTCTCCTTAGTGGACAGAGAGAAGAAAAAAAATAGGATCCTGTGTTCTATAACTTGCTTTTTTCACTTTACAACCAAGTGTGGACATCTGTCCAGATCAGCTTCCAAATATCTACCTCATTCTTTTTGATGGATACATAGCATTTCAGCTCATGAATATGCCATAATTTGTAGATGAGTCCTTGTTGTTTCCATTTATGTCTCCTTTGTCACGCAGTGTTATGATTAACATCCATGCTCTTGTATCTGTGTACTGATGGGACTGAATCCATAGGATAAATTCATGGGATAAATTCCTAAATGTTAACTTTCTGCATCAAAAGTTATGT